TATATATCTCCATCCTGCCAATTTATGCAACAATAATGTTGCAGAATGCAGGATACCACAATTTCTGGGACATTTTGACAACTGGATGAAATGCATATAGGCACAAACTTGAGACACAAAGACAGACAAAACCATGACTAGTGTGCACAGCTCATGGCAGAAAGCAAGGACAGAGGGTATTCTTCTGAAACAGTGGTTCTCAACCTTCCTAATGCTGTGACCCTTTAATACAGTTCTTCATGTTGTGATGACCCCCAACCATAAAATTATTATTATGTTTTTTTTGTTTGAGACAGAGCCTCAAGCTGTCCCCCTGGGTAGAGTGCCATGGCAACACAGCTCACAGCAACCTCCAACTCCTGTGCTCAGGTGAGTCTCCTGCCTCTGCCTCCCAAGTAGCTGGGATCACAGGTGCCCACCACAACGCCCGGCTATTTTTTTTGGTTGCAGCGGTCATTGTTGTTTGGCAGGCCTGGGCTGGATTCTAACCTGCCACCTTAGGTGCATGTGGCTGGCACCTTAGCCACTTGAGCCACAGGCGCCGAGCCCATAAAATTATTTTTGTTGCTACTTCATAACTGTAATTTTGCTACTGTTATAAAGTATAATGTAAATATCTGATATCCAGGAGACCCCCAAAGGGGTTGCCACCCACAAGTTGAGAACTGCTATTCTAGAAAATGAGTGGTCTGTTATATTCTGTCCTTGCTCAGGAAGAAGAACTTTTGAGACGTCTTTTTGTTTGTGAGTCAGTGTCTTGCACTTGCTCAGGCTGGAGTGCAGTGGCATCACCATACCTCACCGCAGTCTCAAACTCCTGACCTCAAGCAATTCTCTCAAATCAAGCTCTCAAAATGCTAGAATTACAAGCACGAGCCACTGTGCCCAGCCTTGTCTCCTTTTCATAAGCAATTTAGCATTATAATCCTTATAATGGAGAAACAACAAAGGTATATTTTCAGGATACGAAAGTATGTGTATAGCTATAGCATATGAATTCTCTGATCAACTGGAATAAATGACAAAATATCAGATTTGGTTGTTTTTGCAGTTTTTTTTTTTTTTGGCTGGGGCTGGGTCTGAACCCACCACCTCCGGTATATGGGGCTGGTGCCCTACTCCTTTGAGCCACAGGCACTGCCCAACTTTGGTTGTTTTTGTTTGTTGGTTGGTTGGTTTCTTTTGTTCCTTGGGGTTTGAGACAGAGTCTCACTCTATCACCCAAGCTAGAGTACAGTGGCATCATCATACCTTACTATAACCTCAAACTCCTGGGTTCAAGTGATCCTCCTGTCTCAGCCTCTTGAGTAGCTGGGACTGCAGGCACATGAGGCCATACCTGGCTAGTTTTTCTATTTTTTATAGAAACAGGAGTCTCACTCTTGCTCAGGCTGGTCATGAACTCCTAGCCTCAAGTGATCTTCCTGCCTTGGCCTCTGAAAGTGCTATGATTACAGGTAGGAGCCACTGTTACTGGCCCAGTCTTGCAGTTTTTAAGCAATGATAGGCAAGGTCATGTCTGATTCACACTACCAAAAGAATTTTTTTTTTTTGAGACAGAGCCTCAAGCTATCCCCCTGGGTAGAGTGCCATGGCATCACACTCACAGCAACCTCCAACTCCTGGGCTCAAGCCAGTCTCCTGCCTCAGCCTCCCAAGTAGCTGGGGCCACAGGCGCCCGCCGCAATGCCTGGCCATTTTTTTGGTTGTAGCCATCATTGTTGTTTGGCGGGCCCGGGCTGGGGATTCGAACCCGCCACCTTAGGTGTATGTGGCTGGCGCCTTAGCCGCTTGAGCCACAGGCGCCGAGCCTACCAAAAGAATTTTTAAGAGGCAGAGGGTCTAGGAAACAGGCAGGCAAGTAAATAAATAGGCTGTATACTGGGAGCTCATAAATTATAAAAGTCAATCCTTCACAGAAACAAGAAATTCCTTTTCTACAAAACAAACTAAAGAGCAACTTTAAGTATCTGAGTTAAATGAGTTCCTGCCCTACAACTCAACTCACCTGTTTACTGATTTGGGCAGTTACAATAAAGAGAAAAAAACTAACTTAATAAAAAGTTGGGTTTTTTTTCACTTTGTTGCCTCTGGTAGATTGCCATGGCATCATAGCCCACAACTTCCAATTCCAGGGTTCAAATGATCCTCCTGTCTCAGCCTTCCCAGTAGCTGGGCCTATAGGCATCTGCTGCAACACTCAGCTATTTTTAGAGATGAGGTCTTGCTGTGGCTTAGGCTGGTGTCTAACTTGTGAACTCAGGCAATCGACTCACGTTGGCATCCCGGAGTGCTAGGATTACAGGGGACTACAGGCATGAGCCTCCTTGCCAGGTCGATAAAAAGTTCTGATAGAATAATTCACACCAAAAGAACATGTGAAGTTATGTGCTACTTTCTTGTTATTTTCTTTTTTTGAGACAGAGTTTTGGTAGAGTGCCTCGGTAGAGTGCCATAGTATCACAGCTCACAGCAACCTCAAAGATTTGGGCTTAAGCGAGTCTCTTGCCTCAGCCTCCCAAGTGCTGGGACTATAGGCGCCCGCCACAAAGCCTGGCTGTTTTTAGAGATGGGGTCTCCCTCTGGCTTAGGCTGGTCTTGAACCTGTGAGCTCAGACAATCCACCCGCCTTGGCCTCCCAGGTGCTGGGATTACAGATGTGAGCCACCCTGCCCAGCCTTACTTCCTTGTTTTTATGGAAAGAAAAGGGTAAATCAAGATAGACAAAGAAGACAAGACAAATTTGAGTTAGACTTGATTTTGTTAAATGGCAGCTCTGTTTACCTTTTAGCAAGGTCAAGCAGCTCTATTTCATAAATTCTAATTTTCACATTTTTTTTGAAAGTTTGACATACCACAGATTTGTGAGGAGATTCATGATAGTTCCTTCAACTGACCAGGGTTGAAGGAACTAGAAGTCTGAATACTATAGGCAAAAAAGCGTGAACAATCCTTTTCTGCAGGGAGCTCAAGGTCTTTTTTTTTTATTTTATTTTTTGAGACAGAGTTTCACTTTGTCACCCTTGGTAGAGTGCCGCAGTGTCATAGCTCACAGCAACCTCAAACTCTTGGGTTCAAGCAATTCTCTTGCCTCAGCCTCCTGGTAACTGGGACTACAGGTACTGGCTACAACACCTGGCTATTTTTAGAGATGGGGTCTTTCTCTTGTACAGGCTGGTCTCAAACTCCTGAGCTTAGGCGATCTTCCCATCTTGGCCTCCCAGAGTGCTAGGATTACAGGTATGAGCCACTGCATCCAGTCTAAGGTCTTAACTTTTACTTATTCCCATGGTCTTCCACAGGTACTCACCAACCGTGCTTAGTAGCTTTCTCCAAAAGAAACTGACAACACAGTAAGCTAAGCTCAGCTGAGACAGGACACTAAACAATCTCACTTTAGACCTTACACTTTAATTGGCCCCTTGGCACAAAATGGCTTCTGCCTTCCATGAGGCTGATGCAATTAGTCACTTGCTTCCTTTCAGCAAGGCAGGCAGACACAACTAGGTCCTTTTACTGGTTTTACTGGTTTAAAAATCCACTCAGGATTGTTGTAATTTGGCAAATGAAGGGAGCAACTGTCACCTAGTAAAATTGTAATGTGCACATTAGCTTTTAATTTGTTTTAAACCTGGTATCAAGCAGCCCATTTTTTTTTTAATTTAATTTAATTTTTTTTTTGAGACAGTGCCTCAAGCTGTCCTCCTGGGTAGAGTGCCATGGCATCACAGCTCACAGCAACCGCCAACTCCTGGGCTCAAGCGAGTCTCCTGCCTCAGCCTCCCAAGTAGCTGGGACCACAGGCGCCTGCCACAATGCCCGGCTATTTTTTGGTTGCTGCCATCATTGTGGTTTGGCAGGCCCGGGCTGGATTCGAACCCGCCACCTTGGGTGTATGTGGCTGGTGGCTTAGCCACTTGAGCCACAGGCGCCGAGCCAAGCAGCCCATTTTTAACATTAGTTTTCCAATAGTGTCACCCTAAAAGTTCCCCAGTAGGCCAACTGGAGTTCAGGTGAGGATATTAATAACTATCATGCAGGTTAATCAGCTCTAGGAAAGCAACACACAAAGCACATGGAGCCAACACATAAAACTGATCTATTCTGCGGTGAAGTTTATTGAATTCAAAGATAGTATTCCTTTATGAGAAATAAGAAACTCAAATCAAGTTGTACAACCAAGCATCACAAGGATAAACCAGAGATGAAGTCTGCTCAGACCATACCACGCAAACAACCACCCACATGAAGGTGTTTTTATTTGATGCAAAAAGTTAACAGTGGCAACACAATGGCCACAAAATGAGACTATAAATGCACTTGAATTTTTTGTGAGTTCTGGTTAGGCTCTGACAAGCCTATCATTCTTTCTGCCAAGTAAACAATAATCCATCTGCTGATGCCAGAAACTTTGAAGCTCTTAATTCAGCTGGAAATAACTACAACTGAAGGCCTTTTTTCCTAGCTAGCTACTTCCCCATTTAGAGTCGCCTAGCAGGTTAATTCCCATGTAACAAAAGATGCCCGTCTGGCTGGCTGCATCATGCACTGGTGACAAGGGCAGATTTAATGGGTTGTTTTTGTTCAGATAGCTGGGCTTCCTGGCTGGTCTTATCCGTCTCTGCACCTTGGTTCTGAGCATTCTGAGACTCAGTCAGCTGAGGATAAAAGGGACCTACCAGCCAGTTGAGAGGTGTGTTGTTAACAAGATAATCCGTCACATCTTCTAAGGATTCCTTCATTTTCTGCAGCTGCCCCTTGCTAGATATGAGGAGGCTGTCAGACACTTCCTTAAAGGAGGTGACATTCTGGAACACTGAGTAGATGTTGCCTGCCATCACCCCCAAGTGGTTGGCTTGATCTTGGATGTTCTGTGGTAACCCTTGGATGCTGGACAGGAGGGTGTGGCACGTGGTCTGGAGCTGCTGAGTCAGGTTTCGGGCAATAGCAAGAGTACGTGATTCAATGTGCTAAAAATAAAACAAATTTAAGAATTAGCAGTAGATCCAACAGTGCTATGTATAAATGAGCTCGATCACAGTAACTGGTTATGTATCAGTATCTACCACACATGACTTCTGAAAAGCCTCATAACAATGCTGAGTGCAGCAGTATTATTTACATTTCATAGATGGGAACATCAGCTAGTTTAAGTAAATTGTTCCAGTTAAAAGCTGGAAAATAGCGAAGTGGGGATGAAAACTAGCACCTGAGTCTCAAAGTTCATCACCTTAAACTGAAGAAATGTAACATGTAGGGAAGACCAGACAGAACAGAAATAAACTTTACATTAATAGTGCAATTTAGAGAGTCCCTCTTCAAATAAGATGACATAAGCAAATATTGATTTCAAAAGTAAATGCATATTTGCTTTTGGGACAGAAAGAACTGCTTTTTAGGACTACAAGATGCTATTTCTTCTGTCTGAAACATTAGTCTTTTTCTTGCCCTTTCCCCTAGTTTATTCACCATTAGTTCCCAGCTTACCACTCATCTCCTCCAAGAAGCCATGTGACTCCACCAGTCCCACTCCAAGGCTGCCTGAGGTAGCCTTTCTATATATTCTCATAGCACTTGTATTTATGCTGTCAAAGACCACTGACAGTACAGTAGCTGCCCGTATCCCCTGTTAGACTGTGCCCCTTCCCACTGTTTTGTGAGAGAGTCTCACTCTATTGCCCAAGCTAGAGTGCTGTGGTTGCTCACAGCAACCTCAGACTCCTAAGTTCAGCCTTCTGAGTAGCTGGGACTTTCTGTGCCCACAACAATGCCCAGCTAATTTTTTTTTCTATATTTATTAGAGGCAGGGTTTTGCTCTCGCTCAGGCTCTGAACTCCTACGCTCAAGAGATCCTCCTGCTTTGCTGGGATTACAGGTGTTGAGCCACCATTCCTGGACAATCTGTGCCCATTCTGAGGGCAAAGCCCATATTTTCCATTTAGTCATGACTTGTTTGGGGCATATATGCACCTGTAGGTTATTATGTAAAGTTACTGCCTTCCTGGTTTTGCTTTTGTGCATGTAACCAGTGTACACAGTTATCGTTCAGGCTTTTGCTAGAGAAGAGTATTTTAAGAGTAATTATAGAGGCTCGGCGCCTATAGCTCAACCAGCTAAGGCGCCAGCCACGTACACCTAAGGTGGCGGGTTCGAATCCCCAGCCTGGACCCGCCAAACAACAATGACGGCTTCAACCAAAAAATAGCCGGGCGTTGTGGCGGGCGCCTGTGGTCCCAGCTACTTGGGAGGCGGAGGCAGGAGACTCGCTTGAGCCCAGGAGTTGGAGGTTGCTGTGAGCTGTAATGCCAGGGCACTCTACCCAGGGGGACAGCTTGAGGCTCTGTCTCAAAAAAAAAAAAAAAAAAAAAAGAGTAATTATAGAAAAATTGAAATGACAAGCCAGAGAAGAACTTTGGAAGCCATAGCAAATGACTCCGTCCCAGTCATCTTACCTCTGTACAGTGGGATTCATCGGTGTCATCATGCCCAAGGCTTCTCTTCCACTCCACCCATGAGAGATAGAGCTTGTCCTGAGTGTCCTGAATTTTCCGGTTGGCACTATGCACATTTTTTCTGGCAAATTCAATCTAGAACATGATGAAAGAAGACAAAGGAACAAACTGTCAGACATTCTTTTTAGCCTGTTTGCAGGTCTCTGAATGTAAATCAGGCAACATAAAAACTAAGAAATTCCTTAGAGTTTAATGAGACCTATCCCTGCTGTTGTTGTTACTTATCATCAACACTTGTCAGTTAATCAAGTAGTAGCTCTTCACTGCCTGTATTTAACTACTGAAACCACTGACCTCAAATTTACCTCCAGTTTAGCGCAGGTAAAACAACTAAAATTTAATCTGTACGTGTGAAGGGTAAGTTGGAATTACAAAACAGAAAGGAATTTAACCTTCCTCTTCCCTGTTGGCAGCCACCTAGTTCCCCTTCCAAGAAGTGGTTTCTTACTGCAGTACAGGTCTGTACCTACTGTTCTGTAACTTGGCAATCTGTAATGGCTACACAGTAGTCTACTGTGATGTATCAAGCTAATCAGTCTTCCATTACAACAGTCTCTGGCAACTCTAAACAAATATATACACCTTTAGGATGAAGAATAAATCTGCCCATTTACATAGGCAGATGTATATAGATGTATTTACTTTTTTTTTTTTTGAGACAGTCTCACTCTATTGCCCCAGGCTAGATGCCTTGGTAACAGCCTACCTTACAAAACCCTTAAATTCCTGGGTTCAAGTGATCCTCCTGCCTCAGCTTCCCAAGTAGGTGGGACTACAGGTGCCTGTCACAATGACCAATTAATTTTTTCTACTTTTAGTAGAGACAAGGTCTCAGTTTTTGCTCAGGTTGGTCTTGAAGTCTTGAACTCAAGCCATCCTCCCACCTCAGCCTCCCAGAGTGCCAGGATGGCAGGTATGAGCCACCACCCAGCCACTTCAAGTACCTTACAGTGAAGCTCTACTCACCAGGTGAACGGTAGAATGGAGCTGGGAAATGGTCTCCTGACTTTTTTGCTTAGCCTCTTTAACCCTGCTGAGAGCCTGCAGGTAGGCACGTGAGCGCAGCTTGGTAGACAGGGATCCTAGTCTAACGTAGTAACTTGGCTTCTGAACTACTTCAAATCCTTCGACTTTTTTTGCTTCTTTTTCTGAAATTAGAAAAAAAGGGGGGGAAATACTTAGGGAATCACAGCTATAAATGATAAACCCCAGAATCTAAACTGGGTCTTGACTGTCAATTCTACCCAACCACCTAGCAATCATGCACTCATTTTCCCAACACTGCTCATGTCACCTGCTGTGCTTGACCACCCCGAAGATGCTACTGTCTCTGATACATATGTTTGTCTCTACATGTTTCTTCCCATGAGAGTGAGCTTCCTGAGCGACACAGTACCTGGCACAGAGTGGGCACTAATGTGCCTACTACGATGAAGGTTCTTTTTAATGATGATTCTGTATAGCCACCCATAATCCATTTACAGAAAATACTATCAAAGCTAATCTATCCTGGGCAGTGCCTGTGGCTGAGGGCACCAGGCCCATATACTGAGGGTGGCAGGTTCAAACCCAGCCCTGGCCAAACTGCAATTAAAAAAATAGCCAGGCATTGTGGCAGGCGCCTGTAGTCCCAGCTACTCGGGAGGCTGAGGTAAAAGAATCACCTAAGCCCAAGAGTTGAGGGTTGCTGTGAGCTGTGATGCCACAGAACTCTACCAAGAATGATAAAGTGACCCTGTCTCTGGAGAAAAAAAAAAAAAGCTAACCTATCCTAAAGTTTCAAAACTTACTATGCTTACTATGTACAATTCAATGTAAGCCTAACACACTGCTGAGAGGTCATGAGTTATCTGGTAACATAGATAGTTTCTGCCTAAAATTGCTGGTCAACAATGTGCTTACATAGCAGCTATTCCCAGATTCATTTCTCCCAGTCTCAATTCCCAGTTGCCACAAATACAGCCTTCCCGCCTCATCTCTCAGCTGCTTATAATATAGAATCACTTAACACCTCTAACATCTTAATACATCATTGACGGGCAATTTTACACAAAAACTATCCACATTACTGGGTAACTCGTGACTGGTCAGCAATGGGTTAAGATTGCTTTAAGAAGGAAAACCTCTACAGCCAGAAGGATAAGTGGTTGTCTAGGAGAGGAAATGAGGATCGACTACAAACAGGGATCTTTTGGGGTGGCAGAAATGTTCTAAAACTGGATTATAGGCTCGGCGCCTGTGGCTCAAGTGGCTAGGGTGCCAGCCACATACACCTAAGGTGGCGGGTTCGAATCCAGCCCAGGCCCTCCAAACAATGATGGCTACAACCAAAAAACAGCCAGGCATTGTGG